AGGAGCCTACAGTTTCTTTTGTTAATCAAATAGTTCCTTCTATTGACATTTTTATTTTACGTAATTTCTTTCTTTGAGACCAGCACAGGATTTTTTTTTATATTTCTTATAGTCGATGCTAAATAGTAATAAAAATGTAAAGACAGAAAAGCAACATCGAATACATTTAGGTTAAAATTATTCTATTTTATATCTGAGGTACATATTGTTGTCATTCTAATAAGGTCTTCCTCAAAATCTAAATTCATGGGTGAAATCCCATCTGTTGTATGTCATATATCTAGCTTCTCTCTTACAGGGTCATTTATCAGCAATAAACTCTCATTTATCCAATCGGTGGGATGAAGTCTTAGCTGGCTACCTGCCTACTGTGATTAGCTTCTACTGAACTTCCAGTATATACTCTGCATCTACTCAAGTGCTTTCACTATTTCTCAGCCTAGAGGACATCGACTTAGAGAATGGATGTTATCTTAGAACCAGGATACAACCTCTCATCATTATGCAATGTAATCTTTTCCCAAGGGAAGCATGAGATGAGAGGTTACTTCACATAGAATCTGATGAGTGTAACCACACTCATCCACATGAGGACGACACAAGATCTTATTCACACATGGCAATTAAGTCATGTAGCCCACCTATTAACATCATCCATTCAGCCTGAAAAGGTCCATAATAATAGTCATAGACCATAGCCCTAGCATGACCTCCTATTTATTTGGCATCTTCCAGTTTTCCTTTATATATGCAGGTCCACATTGGAAGTACAGGGCGAGAGGCCAGATTCAGGAGGAAAGTGAGAGGACCAGAATTCGAAGAAATTCTGAGGTGCAGCATCTTTGACAATGTATACAAATAACATTGGCATTTCTGGATCCCTGTGACAGAAATTATCTATGTATAAGTAAAAATCTTGGAGCCTCATCCTAGTGTACCCTGAGCATGTTTTCAATCTAAACATAGACACTGGCAAAAATTGGCCTGAGACTGAATAAGGAATATATGCACAGTGTACAGATACCATTAACTTTTTGACAAGGTGGACCCTTTATACCAACAGTAGGATACTTTTCTTTCAAGCAATCAGAATTTTAACTGAAGGAGCAACTTGAGAGGAAAATTTCAATTCTTAAGCAGTAATGAAGTGAAGAGGGCAATTTTAATGTCTGCACATTTTAAGCCAAGAAGCAAAGCTCATTTTCATGTAGACGTGTACAGTGTGGAGGTGGATGAGTGGAGGCGGTCATGCATCAGATGGCAAGGTGCAGTGATGGAGCAGAGCTGTTCAAGATGAAAACACCACGGACTGAGAAAGAGTCACACTAAGTGTTCCGAGCAAAGATGAATTGGAGAGTATTTCTGGTCTATTAATTACTTTGCAGTATATTCTATAAAGTGGCCTGTCTTCTCAGATATCTTCTACCACCTTAAAAAATAATTTCCCCATTGGAGAAATGCATATTTCCAGCGTCTCAATTGCCAAAATTTATATTCTGGAGATGATTTGAGCCATTCTTGGTTTTCAACATAATATCAAATTATGAGATTTCATAGCATCAGATCATTCTTGTATATTTTCATTAACTTAAATTTTCACTACTAATCTTAATCCAAATATATATACCTATACATATGTATGCATATTTGTGACTTCCAGGGCACAGGTTCAAACGCAATTGCCATCTATGATACCACATTTTCCACATTAGAAGTTTGTTTGGGGAACATTTCAAATGATGTATTTTTTTATCTCAAATTATTTCATTCCTTTAAGCTGTGTTTGTTGCAGATAAGTACCAATGCTAAAATGACAGAAGCCAGTCTCTACTATGACTCAGACAGGGCATACCAGATTAATCATTTGTCATTAATATGCCCAAATTTGCAGACCTGTGATGTCTAGTGAAACACTTATAGTCATGGCTGGTCATTTACTTAAAACAAAGTCAAATAGAAACTAGATCTGTACTCTCATTTGGAAAGCTGTACTTTCGTGGGTTTGAGAGATACCAGTGTTTATGCTGACTGTAGTAAACATCAGAGATTCAGAACACACAGCTGCCAGCTGACAGTGGTGATTGATGGCTAGGAAGCAATGGGTTCTCTCAATACTCTGCAAGAGCTGGGTCATCAGAAACCCCAATGTTTGGAGGTACATGAATCTCCTCTTATGGTTCCACCAATCTCTAGTTATCATTTGTGGTGTTACAAGGCAGTGGATATACAACACTAGAAACATTAGAAGAATTTCAAACATTTTTTAGACTGGTTGAGAGACAAAGCCTGTATTTAATTTTTCTATCCTCTTCATTTTTCTTTTTCCTTTTTTTCTTTTCTCTTTTTTTTCCTTCTGCAGTGTATGTTATGACTCTTTATAAATATTAGGACAACCATACCATCGACAACTTTTTAAAAAGACAAATGTCCAATTAGTTCTCAATGGACTCATTAAAGTTATTCCATTTGATACTAGAATATTTGAATTTTGGAATTAGTATGACAAGGTCTCTACCTGGGTAGCCTTCCCTAAATGTAGGGTTATTATGGTCTGCTTACAATATAATAAGCAACCATATATTTCATGTTACAGCATGTTTCAGCAAAGACAGCTTCCCTCAAAACATCACCATCATCATCATCATCACCATCATCATCACCATCATCACATTATTATTATTATTATTATTATTATTATTATATACATTATAAAGTAACAGAGCCAAAAATGTGATTTATGCATTGGGGATTTGTCCTGCTAGACATATTTCAAGACATAGAGTAGCAAGGGGGAACAAGCACAAGACCTGGTTTAACTCAACCTTGGATGCTAAGTAGGTACATGACTTTGGCTATGACACAGAAGTTCTCTACAGTAAGATATCATCAGTAAGTTGAGAATAAGAGCATCTTCTCTGTTGAGTTGCAAGGTTTTCCATACAAGCTTCTGTGTGATACATATTTTAAAAGTGGATGATGCAGGATTAGTATTAATGTTACAGTTTGCATTTTAGAAATTACTCAAAGACTCAACAAGGATTGATATAAACATAAAAAGCTAGCTACAGTAAAAAGTTATTGTTAGGTACTGTAGGATTTATTTTCTGAATTTATGAGTCCATATTTGTTCATTTAAAGAAATACAAATTAAAAGACTTCCAACTATCTGTTCTTCTTACTGTTTGGGGCCAAAATCTTGTTAAAATTGCATCTTTGTATATATATGGATGCAGATATATGATTTTAAAATGTTATTGGAATAAGAATGGATAAAGGTTCCAGAAAATGGCAATTTGACAAAAGTCTAGTATAAACAGCTACTGAGCTTGAGCTATACAGAGAAAGTTAACAGTATGAATGCAGTTATAACTATAGGCATACATATAATCATAGAAATGTTACCTTGGGGGCTTCAGTTTCATCTACCTCCTGGCATTTAGTCTGCCTTTAACTGTACCATCACATCTCCCCAGTCACTTGGAAATGGACTTCTAAGAATTCTTTGCCATGTCAGGAATAGGAGCCATCTGCATTCAGCAGATGTGCAATTTGCTAGGCAAATATTTTAAAACACATCTGTAGTATAGGTAATATTACTTTTGAAGTATACATAGAGATGGTGAGCTTTAGAAAAGTTCCATGGCTCTCAGAGTCACATGATGATGAGTGGAGAGGCTTGGCTTTGAAGTCAGATGTCTCCATTCAAACCTACTTGCTTCATCTCTGTAATGGTTACAGAGCCTTCATCTCACATTCTTCCCAGCTCACGTTAATCAGTTGCTCTAGAGCTAAGCCAAAGCTTCCAGCATTATTCTACTTCTTTTTCTTTCAAACAATCCTTTTCCTTCTCCAGTCTTACAATATAATCTCTTCTGTTGAGGTTCTGAGTGAAAACTACAGTTACTTTGAAAGTGTTTCCTAATATTTGTATATCTATTCATAAAATGAGGATGTGGGTCCTAGTACAGTATTCATTAAATCTAAGCCCTCCAGCCTATTGAATTTCTCTCCATTTGTTTGCAAGTATGGCTACAGTGAGAATAGTTCATAATTCAAAACACTGTGTTTTGTATAACTTGGTAGAAAATGTGAAATCCCTTTTATTTTAAAAACAGAAATTACCAACATGAATCCCTGTATCTTTTCTTACATAAAGAACTGATGAAAATATTTGAGAAATGCAAATCCCACTAATGGTAATTCTCATTGAAAATCTATACATTGTTAGTAAAATAACAATTGAGAATTTTATGGAGCTAACATCTGAGTCAATGTAGTGTGCATGCGAAGTCCTCTGTGCATTTTATTTTACACCTTTTGAAGGCAACACTGGAAATTACCTGGCTGTTATGAATTGAGTTTAACAATTCTGAATCAGAACTGTCAGTCTTCGTCCTTTACAAAATGACTTTCTTCTTCAGTGGCTTTGGTGATACTTTCCCCAAGTGTGTGCTGCTTTAGCATGACAGTCTTCAGGCCTATGTACTTAATGAAAGTTTAGCAGGTTTTATCTAATACTTTATGCTTCTGTTTCTAAAAGACTTGCTTTAGAAATAATTTTGTCAACATTCACATCTCAGTGGAAGAAAGGAATGCATCTAAAGTTCTCCAAAAATGTTAATGTTACTTCTAATGCTCTACTTAACTAAGTATGGATTTCTCTAACTGGAAGTTGTTTTCCCAGCAGGAAGCAGTCCTCCTAAGAGGAAATCATTTCACCAGTGGGAAGGGTCTGATAAACAAGCTCTGATAGACATGTTTATTCCCACTGGATATTCCTTGACCAAAGAACAAAGAGACGGGAGAATAAGTAGGCAGGACTCTGAAAAGCTTCGTACCAAGAAAATGGTAGCAGATTCATCAATGTCAAAAGAGTAAAAGTTACCATTCATCAGGGCAAACCATCCACAAGGCAAGCTTACTCCAGAGAGCAGCAACACACATCCCACTTTCTAGAGTTTTCTGATGCAGGATGGAAAGATGAAAGGAGGGTTACTTACTGTTTGGGTCTACGTTTTCACAGAGTTCTGTCTTTGCCTCACCGTTGGGCCTGTCACTGGGTTTGTGTGACAGCCTTGATGACATGGTAGCTGCTGTAACTACGGCCTTGAAGCTTCGCTTCCGTTTCTGGACATTGAGTTCAGGGTGGAAAATGATGATGTACACTTTCGGCATGTATAGCATTCCCAGCGCCACTGACGCACTTAGGTTCATGGAGATTGTAAGCGTGGTAGTTTGTATGTAGAGCTAGGAGACACAACATACAAGGCACTTTTACAAATACAATGACTGCAGATGGTGTGTGAATACTTAAAGCGGTGTAACAGATAACATGTCTAGGAGACAAAGAGCCATCCCTGTGACTTTCTGCTAAAAAGAAAAACAGCTTGGCTGCATATCTATTTCTGAGTCTATATTAGTTAACCCTGGGCAAGTCCTTACATATAGAGAGATCTTCTAGAATAATGTTCAGACTAGAGTTTTAATAAGATTTAAATTACTTTTAATGACAATGATAGATAGAAAAACATGAATTATAGATTATCACAAGAATCTTAAAATATTGAGTAAAAGTTGCTTATTATTTTAAACCTTAAAACAAAAAGTTTATTATATGATTTGCTATGCATAGATCCTGAGACCTTTGTTTTAAAATTATTTCTGTTCACAAGTCATGCTTTTGTATCACTTTGGTAACACAATGCATCTTAACCAAACCTACAGAGTAGTGATTCAGTTTCCCTAAGTAAAACTTTGACTTATATATGTTTATAAAACATAAAAGTCAAGACACTGGCATCTAGCTATGGCTTTTCTACTTTGGTCATATTGATACATTAATAATTGGATTCTAATACCTCATTCTGCCCTCATGCTACTTATACTTTGGATAATGGATAGCTTTGTGCTTTCTGGGGTAGTCAACTAGATTAAACAGTTGTTTACTGTCTAATGTTTGGAGTCACTGTCATAGTGTAAGAGTGAGTATCAAAGGGTATATAAAGTCATGTAGTCTGGAAAAGTAGAACCATATCCATCTTCATGAGGTCCAGCACATCTATGAATATGATGTCTCTTCCTGTAACCTACAGATCTTTATTTTTTTATTTTTTGTTTTTTCGAGACAGGATTTCTCTGTTTAGCCCTGGCTGTCCTGGAACTCACTCTGTAAACCAGACTGGTCTCAAACTCAGAAATCCATCTGCCTTTGCCTCCCAAGTGCTGGGATTAAAGGTTTTTGCCACCACTGCCTGGCCCTAGAGCTCTTTAGAAATCAGATATGTTTGACTTATACATGGGTTCTAAAGGCTAGGTTAGAGTGGGAAACTTGTAAGGTTTGTTTTTTGTATCAATACAACCTCTAGTTCCTTGGCAATGAATTGGACCATGATGGTTCACAACCCCTACCTTCGTGTTAGACTCCATTAAGAGTCTACATGATTCTACTTGAGGTATACTTGGCTGCTTTTTCAGATGAATTTCCTTCTTTTTCCCAACTCTTCTATGAGTTTCAATCTCCTGACTATCCACATGTCTATAAGACATTCCACAAGAATAGACCTTGTTCATTGAACTATGGAATCTTTGAACAATTTCCTTTCTTTAAGTTTGTTTGATACAGCCTAGCCTATTTCTCTTTTGCCTCTTCAGATGTTTTTTGAGAATGTTCTCACCCACTGTCTTTTTACTTATCCCTTCTCCAAAGACAGTTTCCTGTATAAGATAAGTCTCTGCTTGAAATTATATTCTTACTTCTTTGATCTTAGATTCTCTCCATCTCCTCTACAGGTTCCATGAAGTTAGACCATTTCTGGGGCATCATTCTCTACATAATAGAAAACTATGGCATACTTCATAAATATATAATGGATATGGCTGGAGAGATGGATCAACACTTAAGAGCACTTACTGCTCTTCCAGAGGTACTGAGCTCAATTCCTAGCAATGGCATGGTGGCTCGCAACCATCTGTAATGGGATATAATGCCCTCTTCTGGTGTGTCTGAAGAGGGAAAAGTGTATTCACATACATAAAATAAATAAGTCTGTAAATAAAAGAAAAGTATATATATGGTAGAGTCTGTTGCTTGACACCTTTTTTCTCTATTATAGGCCAGTGGTCACACACAGCCATTCCTCATATATAGACATATTTCCATCAGATCTACCCAACATTTGGTTATTTCTGATCAAAAAAGCCATGAGAAGTTGGCATCTTGCTCAAGGTTCTGGGTTCCATCTCTAGTCCTGAAAACTTGTTACATAATCAGTAAGGAGATATATCTATGAGAATGCTCAGGCTATACCGATTCCACATATACAGATCTAAAGAGACCAAACCCAGGAATTTTTATTAAACAAACCAAGTTGTGGACACCATAGCATAAAGGATTTGCTAGCATTTCATTTTGCTGTCATATTTAGTGCATGCTTTTAGCAACATAATTTGCAACACTTTTAATGTCATATTGGTCTTTTGTTCACATGATGCTTATCATATAATGCACTATACTTTTTTAACCTTGGGTATTTTATACCAGTTTCTTATAACTAGCTATTTAACTTAGCCAAAGAAATGAGTTAGAAACCATGGTTAGTCCCTTTCATTAGAGAGTAAGTGCCCATGTACTTCCCAGGACTGGCGCTTTCTTCAGCTTAATCCTACCTTAGCTATTTGCTCTTCTGCCTAGTAAATAAAAGATTTCCTTCACCTTGGCCAAAGTGTCTTAGCCCTTTTGGAAGAACAAAGACAGCCTTAGAATATCCACCTTAATATATATAGAATCAATTTAAATAAATTTGGAAGTCCAGTTTGGTACCTATTATTATTTGGGTTCTTCCCATCTTTAAAATTTTCAACTCTAAAATAAAGATAATAGAAGCTCCTACCCCATAAGATGGGGATCAGTCTAGCAAATGAGGAAAGGAGACCTCTAAGTACTCTAAGATTCAATGAGCCAGTGGACTCTCTTCTGCTAGTACTTACATTCTGCCATGTTAGCTTGTTGTGGAAGGGATTTTGGGAAAATGTTTCTTTTGTAGACACTTTCAGGTATTTTATACTTAAGGACATATGTGATATTTAGGATAATGTATCTATAAGAATCCATGGTATTCCTGCCTTGGCAGACAGAAATATAGCTGAAAACATGTGTGACTACAATGCAGAGGTTTAGGGATAGCTCAATGACAAGCAAAGTTTAGCTGGATCTATTACATGTATCTTCTTTCTTAGTTCTAATAGTTACAGAAAGATATGGAGGCATATCATGAGATGTCTTCACTACTCCAGAAATTAGCATAGCACTATTAGTGGACTTCTTGTCTTTGATATGTTTAGAATGTGGAAAACTTTCAATGTTCAATGTCTTTAATGGAAGCTCAGTATCTCCCACTGATCACATGGAAATGTCATTTTAATCAAAGCTTTGTGTTTCTCCAGGAAGGGAAGAAATTGTCGTAAAATTGACATGCTATTTGCTATATACAAAATATTTCCTGTATTCCTGAACTGTTGAGGCCCACTGGGGGTGGAGGGAAGTGTGAGCTAACATTTATTCACCATTTATTCAATAGGACACCAAATACAGTTCAAATAAATGATTCCACACAACTCTACCTTTCTAAGTCAGCAAATTTCTTGGAGTACCTATAGGAACATTGTTGAAAAGCCCACTCTAGCATGAGTGATGGCTCGAATTTCCTGTCTAGCTTCCTATCCTGCTTGCAACTTCACCTAAGGAAGCATCCCTTTCCCCAACAGTTGTTTGCTCCTTACATAATACTGGGAATGGCCCTTATGGATCTCCTAACTATCTGAATCTCCTGGGCCTCTTCAGAACCTATAGCTTGAGTGCTATAGCTTCCTTCCCACCTCCAGCAGGGAATGCTGCAATTTGGAAGAAACAACTCTCCAACATGATAAAGTTGCCAGCTGCTTTGTCAAACTTTTAGAGCCAGTTTATTTGAAGACAAGTTTGGGATGTTTTGAAGCAAGCTGTGAATAGCTGCAAGGCTAACAGACTTGCAGCTCTGGGAATTATGACAGTCTTGATATGCTTCAAAAATGTAAAGATAGTAGAGGACATACAGGTCATAGACAAGGAAGAAAGATCAGAGCTGTGGGACTGCGTAAGGCTATCTTGGTTCTTGGCTGAGCATGGGCCTGGAACTCCGAGACTCCCAGGGAAAAACGGCAGGTGTTTGGCCATGTCCCCAGAACCCAGGGTCCTGACACGCTGTCTAGTTTCCATGGACCTACATTGTTCAGTCACATAGGCCATTATAGCCCCTCCCAAAGTGTACAGGTAGAGGGCATGACTACAGGCCTCAGGCCCTAGAGAGATTTACATACTAATGGAGGCCAGAGGGCAGAGCCAATTAAGCATTCTTCCCCTGACCCTTACCCCTTTCTCCCTCCCTATTTAACTCAGGTCTGCCCTACATCCAGATCCATCTACCATCTGCCATGAAAATAAACCCTTTTGGAACCATGGACTTTCTCATGTCTTCGGAGCCTGCCACCGTCAAAGCCTCCAGCCTTTAGAACTCCAGACCTTTCTTCCGTTTGTGGGACCCAACGCATGGAAAGTCTCTGGGACTTCGATGCAGCCTATCTCCCACACAGAGCCATTGGGAAAACACAGATTTCAGATTTGTTGATTCATCAATATGATATCATTATGATTGCTATTGTCTTCAGTGACAATTGCAAAATAAACAGCAATATATTTATACATGTGAGTCTTCATTAATAATACTTTATTATAAAAAGAGTTTGAAGGAATTTACTATTGTCAAGCTACTGATATAAGGTACACATGATAACTATATGCCAAAAATACACAATTATATATAATTTTAGATTTACTGTATGTGAGGCATTTTTTGGAATACCATGTCAAGAATATCATTTCACTGAGGCACTGCTGTGTGCCTGCTCTGGCTCAGGTGCTGAGTTTAAAGCATGACAGACATATGCTTTGCTATCCAGAGCTGAATTATAATAGCAAAAGCAAAGAAATCAGATTGCCTTTATGATGCCATGACTGTAGTTAATAGCCATGTATTCTGTACTTACAAATTGTTGACAGAAAGTCCTCAGTTTTTTAACCACAAAAAGGATATATGTGAGGTAATATAATTTAATTAGCTTGATTTAGCCATTCCAAAATGCAGACCTGTCAAAACATGCTGTAGATAACAAACATGTGTAATTTTATTTGTCAATTAATCATAGAGTGTATA